AGACATGCGGGCAGAATACTGCTTTTTTAACTTTTTTATTGAAAGTTTTCTATGGTGAAGGACTCCACAGTATTCAACAAGCATGTTACAGTGTTAACTAGCAATTATTCCTGCAGAATGCCATATATAGCCAGGCAATCTGATGCTGGTTTCTCATTACTGAGGGTCAGCTTCAATTCCACCGACTTCATGTGAAATTTGTGGTGGAAAAGTTTCACTAGAGCAGGGTTTTCTCTCACTTCCTTTGGTTCTACCCTGCTCAACATCATTTAACGATTGTTCCACATTCATTAACATTACCCCTGAGGTGTGTAATAGCCCTGACCAGGCAGCATGCTATTACAGTCTTGGTCTTTAAGTTGGGGGCTTCATTTCTGACTTGGTATATGCCTGGTTAAAGCACAAGGAAATTCAGCTTTTCTTTATTTATGACGAAGGAAAGATGTCCACATTTGGACGAGTCGAAGGCAGCCAGTCTGGCATGTGAGAAAGTATGTATTTTTTGACAAAAATTAGGAACATCAAGTGATGTAAAAGTGCAACATCATGGCACCTGCATTGTATACTGACATGCTGGGAAACCTTCAGAATCCTATTTGACTTATTCCTAAGAGCCAAAGTTACGTACTAAACCCATACACAATAACCTCCATAGAGGAAGTTAGTTCATCATTAGTTCAACTTCTTATATTCCCTAATTTTCATAATCCTTTGTCATCTTTGTATTTCATAAAATAGATGCTGATACGGCAGACTATTGGGTACTGCCAGAGAGAAGCCTTGCCCTTAATTTATGTTAAATTAGACACAGATCTTTAAGCAATAAAAATATAAGAACCTGGAATTCAGACAGAGTGAAATGAACATAATTTTGTTTCAGACATCAATTCATTTCACCTGCAAGTCATATATAATAAGAGAAGTTGCTCTGCGTGTTATTTCATCTGTTAAGATAATTTTAATTTCTTTCAATTCGTAATTCAAGAAAGACAGCATTGTAGTGGTTTAAATGGCAATCATTAATCCTCTCCTAAGATGGTGTATTAGTCAGTGCTTCCAAAGGCTTATTTGTAAGAATGGTGAGAGAAGAAATTCCACATATAATCACAACCTTGGACACTCATGATGATCCTCCATAGGATGACTTGTCACATTATCCATAATGACACTTATGATGTCATTAGGACATGGAAGTCTTGTGGGGGAAACAATTCGTTATAACTCAATAATACACTGTGCTTATTAAATAATTACTACTATATGTACCCTATAAAGGTTACATCTGATTTAGCACATAACATATAGCCACCTTACTAAATAACAGCTGCCTAGCCACACCAAAAATTTCCAATCTCCAGTTCGTTCCCAAAATCAAATGTGTTTCCACATTACTGACCACTATATTAAATCTCACATTATAAACTAAATATCAGCAATAAAAGTATAATTCCATACTCTCTCTTTCAATTTGGAATTTTCTGTGCCTAAACCAGACACTGCTCTCTAGGATCGTAATTAGCAACAGTTTTTGTCATTCACACTATCCATGTATATTTACTAAGTTCATGGATTTCTGACAGGATTCAGTGAAATACAATACAAAGCAGGATACAGTTCCACTGCACATCATTCATACAGAGAAAGTTTCTGGTGTTAATTTCAATACAGAAATACATTCAAGAAAGCACTAGTACAACATTTGCATTTCTTTCACTAAGATTGTAGCATTCAAATACTATTTTACTGTCTGCTAATACTGATATTCCAGACTGAAATGATTATTTTATGTTCAGAAATGAAATTTAGATTTAAGGCTGACAGATACTGTATGGATGATCAGCCATGACAGTTCCAACAAAACTCAATACTGGTAATAAATCATGTAATAATTGTTATCAATTGTTCATCACATCCATGTATCATCTGAGTAATACATATTCCTCAGGGTTACAAATAATAGTAAGGAAATATTTTGTCATAAGGAATATTCAGCATGCTGCTACAAGATATAGTTTCCTTTGTTGTGCATAAAATTAATTAGTATTGTCTAAAGCATTATTCAGGAAATATCATACATTATGCAGGAAACCTTACAGAAGAAAAGTGCTGTATGTTCAATGACATCTCTGCTTTGTCAGTTTTGTATCCATCGTAAGCTGAAAACTGAACCTAGTAACTTCTTGATGATAATGCAATGATCCATGTCACTAACTGACGATGATCATACATTCTCAAAGATTTTTCAGACACAATTTGTCAAGAATTCATATTTAAAACAGCACCAATGCTGTAAATCAGTAAGTAAGTAGGTAAGTAAAGGTATCCCTGTAACAGGCCGTGGAGACCCATAAAGTTGTGAATCAGTATTTATAATAAAAGCAATTTCTACTCTGAAATAATGTCTCTTGAAGTGGAAAGGAGAAATCAACAGCAGTAACAATAGAACAAAACAGAACTGCAAAATATAATTATCATATATCATACTTGGTTCAGACTATATCTATACTGGCTTTCAGATGTTAATTTATTACATAAAACCTCATTTATTAGGCCTTGAAAATGACCATCAAGAACAAAAGATGGCAATTACAAACTATATTAATGCAGCAAGGGAGAAAAAATTAAAAACTGTGCCCCTCTTTCCATAATATTTCATTAAGACAGATTCTGAATGTTGTTACTATCTCATTGTCTGCAACCAAGGATAAAAAAAAAAAAAAAAAAAAAAAAAAAAAAAAAAATTGGTTTGTTGGGAATGGGACCAAGGATAAAAAAAAAAAAAAAAACAGAACAATCTGTGTGTTTAGGAATTGGAAGTGGACACTGTACATAATACATGTTTATAAAGATACAAATGGCAAGACAAATTATTATTAAGTTTTATGGAATGTTGAGGCATCTTGCAGTGCAATGGCTGGAGTCATGATGTAGTGAAGTTTTCAGATTAAACCTAGAAACTAGTTATAGAGGAACAATATGACTTAAAACACTAACATAATCTACAGAAAATACATCCACCTAATTAGCCATTAATTCTGATATCTCATTTGTTAAGTACTGTGTGCTTACTATGGTTTTCTAATAATGCTTCCTAACTAAACCTATATGAACGAAAGGTTATATGTTGTAATTTATCTAATGGACCTATGACAGAAGTCACCAGGATCCCCTAACTCCTACGTAACTTTGAATAAAACAATTAGAATTAAATAAGTGACCAATTACAACATATATAATTAGTGCGTTGTTTCTATAACAGGAGAGACCAGCATTCAGGTCTTTCATCAGATACAGCTGGCCGAATTATATCTGAATATTCCCATGGCAAGAATTGTACTCGTCATTCTGCATCATTTAACACTTTCAAATATTCCTACGAATATAAATTTCAAAATATTGTAACTTTAATTGAATTCTGGCATGAAATTCCAGGATCAATTTAATTCTTGACATTAGACATATTCTGAGCTGTCAAATAACGCTGATATAACATTACTGGTTATAGGGGCTTATGTCTTCATTGCATTATAGCTATTTAGCAACATCAATAACACCAGTACACTTTTAATGTGCAACAATTTGCATCTTAATTGTCAGTTACAACAACAACCTTAATCATAGAAACATCTTTTTCATTTGCAGCATGCAGCCGCATCATTGACAGAAACTGCAAACCTAATAATACACATATGATTCGTTATTTATTTTTGTATCAGATGAATCTGGTATACCAAATGCATATTCACTACCACACTAGTAGGTCTGGATGGACAAATCACTGCAGAAATGAACTTCTGACCCAAACAGAAACACAGCTACATTATTATATAAAGCAGCCTTTTCTTCTTGCAATGTTAAGAATTTTTAAGAACATACTCATGTTGGAGTAAGTACATACTGCTCCGTTGCTCCTCAGCAATAAGGCTGAGCTAGTTAACAATGGGGTGTGCTACCACAAAAAGTAAAGCACAGAAGAGTACCCTTTGTAATGACGTGACATGGAACACTAAATTTATATTGAAAGCATATAATTTAATGTTGTACTACAGCTTTTGCACCAAAGGAAATACAGAATCTGGTGAGGTATCCAGTACACCATTTCTGATTACACTGGACTGAAGGTGAAAATCACAAATACTTTGTTGAGATGAAATGTATGAATGTACCAAAATTTATGAAGGAATGAACATTTAATCATATAAATAACTATTAAAATGTCATATAATTTCTGCCACATAAATAAAACCACAAGTCAGTATTCCATAATTACTAACATCAAATTAGAAACATATTACTATTCAACAGTACTATTTTCATTTCCAGTTCAGCGTAAAGCATGAAATATGAAGAAATATTTATCACATTGCTGCTATTATCAAACTTTCCCATTGATATATCATGTTGGCATTTCATCCAATCACAGTGAGTAAATCATGGAACAGGTTAACAACGTGTGTAACCCAGCTTTAAAAAACATAATGTCACATATCAGCACTGGCAAGTTAATGAACTTGCTGGACTATTCAACTGCACATACTAACTTTTGTTTTGCAGGTCATTCTGAAAGTAACACCTACATCCTTTGTGGATCACTGTAACCAAAGAAGGATAACGCATGAACAGCCAGGTAAGAGAACTCAAAACAATTATGGACTCACACTGAGAAGAAGAAAGGAGACAACATATGAACTTTCTGTATGAAAACTGTTGAGCATAAACACGAATATACACAACCAAGATTTTAAATTGGATGAGTTATATCAGACTGGAAACACATCAAAATGTTTAACATATTATTACTATAAACTAGTAAATATTTAAATGCTAATAATAGTTGATTTTATGTAAGTTAATGCAAAAAATGATAGATTCTGAGACATAATCACAACATTAGAAATAATGAGATAAGAAATTAAACACCAAATATCAGACAAAGACAAGGGGCCAGATGACCACCCAAACTACCACAAAGCTGCTCACACCCTGTCCCTTCACAGTGTGGGCTGAGGACTTGAATGCCTTTGCCTCCACTTGCAGCACCACACGTATCAGAGCAATCAGTTTACCTCTTTGACACTCTGTTGATTAGCTTCCTGAAGGATGCAGTCCATTTTGAGCGATGTAGTCCTTGGGTGGATTTGTCAATGTTGTCATTAGTTGCATTTATCTTGTTACCACTCTTTGGGGTGGATGTGCTGCGATGTCCCCCTGCTGTGTCATAGAGTTCTGAGGAGAAGCCAGAGTCAGATGAGAAGGCCCTGCCTGTCACAGCAGCAGGCAGTGATGGTCCAGCTCCTATGTTGGAGGAAGCTGATGTGAGCGAGGTGTCTGCTGTCAGTGGGATACTGGAAGGATTGCCAAATGTGCAATGGCAAGGTGGACCTCCTGCTGCTGCTGCACTAAGTATGTTGAATGAGGATAATTCCTCCCCATGGCCAGAGTCATCACTGCTGGATTTAGACGAACTAGTGCTTACCTACCAACAACAGATAACAGTACCCAGAAATCAGAGGTTCATCACAATTCAGTTACACAGGTATGACCTGATTAGGTCTGCACATTTTTGTATACACATGGTATTCTTTCTTAGGCATACACTCTATCTGTAAGCCATGACCACAATCATACGATTTTTTTTTATATGTTGTAAAGAAACTACAGGACAGCCCACTGAAATCAATGGTAAACTGAGAATACTAATACAGGAATACTGTTAGTTACAGGCTGAGTTCAGTGAAAGCCATTTCCTGTCTCAAGAAACATACATGCAATATTGAATTGAATTATTTATAGGAAATATTACAGTTTAGAGGTCTGTTATAATTAAGGTCAAATGATTCATGCTTACTTAGGCTTTAACATCACTGCTGTTCAGCAAAGGGTATTGCATTACTAATTGAGGAAATGTCAGGAAAGAGAACATCTCTAATTATTTTCTACACAGTGCATTATTAAAGCAGTTTTATGCTCATAAAATAATTCTTAACACTACTGATGGACAAGATAAAATAAATGCAGCTCCCATTTTGCATAGGCCTTCTGCAGAAACATGAAGTTTCAAGTAATACCTAATATACATAGTATTCATGTTTATTTATTGTGCATCTCCCTCTATTTCAACCCTTCAGCAACTCTATGCTTTGAAAGAACTGTAGTATCTTACAGGGATGCCTTCATAGTCACTTGGCTCCATCAAGTAATGGTCCAGTCACATAGGAAAGAATTATCACACTCTTTTACTAAATACGTAATTACTTACCTCATCAATGTAGGATATGTATGGGGGGAGTGTTAGGCCATCCATAGCACCATAAGCCATTTCACCAGTGAGATCTATAGGAAGTGACGGAGATGGAGAAGGAGAACTCGTGGAGGTCTGGGTCTCTGTTTCCTCTGAAGAATAAGCTCTGCGGAAGGAGTATTCAGATCGGGTGGATGGGAAAGGAGATGAGTGACCTAAAAATGCAGAGTAACCAGAAATGGCTGAGAGGCGCCTATCCCCTCGTGCTGCACCGGTACCGTCATAATCTTCTGAGGCAGTGGAGTACTTGTCAGATGTGGAGGAGCTGGTGAGGGGTACAGGCCGTATCCAATTGCGCAGATCTTGCAATGGCGCTTGGAAGCAGGACAGTAGTTGCTTCTTGCTGCAGTTCAGAGCACAGGTTTTACATTTTACAACACACTGATTCATTTTTAAATTACTAACAAATATTTTCCCCCTTCTTCAAGTCAGTTTATTTAAAAACACGATCTCTAATGCACAATACTGGGCTTGCAGCAGATTCTGGGGAAACAAGAAATGCATATAAAATTTTAGTTGGAGGACCTGGAGTATGGAGACCGCTTTCACGTTATTGTATTGTATTGGTCTACTTTCCGTGGTATACAGGCACTGCAATACCTGCACCAAAAGATTACTTCTGGAATACTGTATTTTGAGATTTAGTTTTAAAGGTATAAGGATAGGAGTATCTGTACTTACTCACTGCCCCTCTCTGTGTAGTCCCCAAATGTGGCCTTTGTATATGCACAGACAGAGCACTTCTTCCTCTTGCACATGGCAAGGTGTTTCATGCCCTTCTTGAATTGGTTGTTGAGTGTTGCACTCTGCCGTGCAACAAATTTTAACTCCGTCACCTGCAATTACACATCATCAGAAACTATGTGTTCAATGTCGCTTCTTGCAATCAACCATCTGCACAACAACTGTCAATTACAAGAAGTAATCTGTATACTACACACATGAGATATGCATTGAATGTTTCACAGTTGGAATATGCTAATTCAGCTTGTGCTTGATGAAAAGAATTGTGTTTTAAATGTATCTTCTTTAGGAAGTTATGTGTTTATCTGCATTGCAGTGGTAAAAACAGCTGTTTACCTTTAATTACAGATATTTATTTGTACACTGTATTATCATCATAGACCTAATTTGTCTCATATTTCATTCTGATTTACATAAAATAGCATGTTACAAATAATTATAAAATTACATTAAAAGTATTAATATTCTCACATGAGGTCTTATAAAGATGGTCCTGGTTAAATCTGTTTGGAAATTACATACATGCGTCTCATTCAGCCCTCCCAATGTACATGCCAAAATTCTGCCCCACTGCAGTAGAAACACTCAAAATCTTTCTTCTATTGCATAACCACATAACAGACTACTTCCCAATGCTTTACCTTATCTTCATTCCATCTTAATCCAAGCATGAGCACACATTGGCCAGGAGCCTTCAGAGCCCAAAACTTCCTATTAATTTTCTCCATAGGTAACAGCATCTCCCACTACCCTCAACTCTCTCTCTCTGTCCTTCATCTCATAAATGGTCAGTGTTAATCCTTCCTTTCTCTCATCAAAAGAGCACACTCACCTCTGTCCAGTATAAACAAATTAAGAATAATTTACTTCCACCCTCCCTTATGTCTGCACAATATGGTATGCAAGCACATGTATGTGTATAAGGCGCAATCAAATGAAAACGGGTCACCACGCATAACTCACATGGTGTGCAAGTTGGTAACACTGGAATTTGCTTATGGTACAAACATCTGGTGGGGACTCGGGAAAGCAGTGACAACGTGCCCTTGCACACTAGTCGTTTGTTTATTGTGCTGGAAGTAAGGTTAGCACTACATGTGTTGTCCAAGATCAGTAATGGAGGTTGGTAAAGAAGAACAGTGAAGTGTAGTGCATTTTTTGACTGCTGAAGGAGTAGGAGGACGAGAAATTCATCGTAGCATGTCTGTTGTTTACGGCGAACACAGCATGTCACGTTCGCATGTGCTGGCGTGGCATAAGAGATTCCGAGAGGGACGTGTGTCACTGAAAGATGATACTCGCCCAGGACAGGCTTATTGTGTCATAACTCCAGAAGTTATTGCTGCATTGGATGGTCATATCCAGGCAAACCGACGGATCACTGTGGAAGAAATTAGTCTTTTGATGGGAATAAGTCATGGTTCCATACACACCATTGTGACAAAACACCTGCTGTACCACAAAATCTGCGCGCAGTGGGTTCCACATCAACTCACAGAGGAACAGAAGACTCAGGAATGGCTGCAACACTGGGTCACTTGCAACGATACCATGAGGAAGAGTATGCTTTTCTGTCCCGTACTGCCACTGGGGACAAAACTTGGTGCCACCATTCTGATCCCAAGAGCAAACGGCAGAGCCAACAGTGGAAACACGTGAATTCTCCCCCACCGAAGAAATCCAAAGCCGTATACACAAGTTCTGGTAAAGTGATGATGACATTTTCCTTCGACTGCAAGGGCCCTCTGCTTGTCGAATTTTTTCGAGCATGGGGCCACAATCAGTGCACAGTGCTACGAAGACACTTTGCAGAAACTGAGACGTGCCATAAAGTCAAAACGCCCTGGAATGCTATCGAACGGCATTATCGTTCTTCATGATAATGCGCACACCCACACTGCCAACTCTGTGAGGAATACACTATAGAGATTTGGTTGGGAAGTGCTTCAACATCCCCCCTACAGCCCAGATCTCTCCCCATGTGATTTTCACATTTTTGTAGACCTGAAGAGAGATATTCGTGGACATCGGTTTGCATCAGATGAAGACGTGTGTGGCTGGGTAAAGATGTGGTTCCGTAGACAGCCCACAAGCTTTTGCAAGGATGGGACTGACCGTCTTATCTCCCAGTGGGATAAATGTACTAAGATAAATGTACTAACAGTTTTAGAGATTACTTTTGAGGTAAGATATCTTCTTTAATATGTTGTACTTCTGACTCGTTTTCATTTGACTGCCACTCATACAAACAGTCCACACCCTCTCACCCTGTTTTTCAAAGCACAAATTTTTATTTTTATCCTCCTATTTATGCCTACATCTTCCCTTCAGGGTCTCCTACCAAAACTTTGTTTAAATTTCTTTTTCTCTCTCATGCACACTACATAACACACTCATCCCAAGCTCTGTGATTTTATCATCTGAATTATATTTAGCAACGTGTACAAATGAACAAGTTCTACATTATGCAATTTTTCACTTTGCAATAATGCAAAATAGGAAACATATCAGGCAAATTTTAGTATGAATGGACTTTACTATGATTTCACTGAGACATATTTTAATTAGCGTAACTAGTTTACTGATGTATGGAACTCAAGAATAGCGTATCTTTCAAGAAATTTCATTCTAGATCACAGTGATTAACTTCACAACCTGGATATGTGGATCCTCTCACAGAATTCATATGCTTCCCACATCCACCTTACGCGCGTGAATTCACTCTATTTGACTCCTGTCTCTTCCCAAAGTTGACTGATATGCTCTGAGGGATCACATCAATCTAGAATTGTTTTGGAAGCAGTAATTACCTGATGGGAGGAATATACCACTAAAGATGAGTTTCGAGAACGTTTTCAAAGCCAGGTACATAGGTCTGTATGTGCAGAGAAAGGTACAGGCCATTGATAAGAGAATAAGATCCTTTTTCTCTCTTTCAAGCAGCATAATTTTACAGTACAACTCAGTTTGCTCTTGAAATGTATCTCATCTTGTATATGAGATACAAAGGTGTTGATATTTACCTGATGAGGGTGGAGTTCCTGTTCTGTATGATACTGTGGCAGATTTGTTCTACACAAGAAAGTTTGAGCTGCAGAAACGGCTGTTTCTAAGTAATTCACACATGCAACAATAGAATGGGGTTATGCAACCCGTTTCTAGGCAACAGCTAAGTAAACATAATTCCATGCATGCTCAATGATGTCACACCCCAACAGTGATAAGCTATCACATGACTTGTGTTTTCTGTGTGGTCTGCAGTAGAACTGTGTTTTCTGTGTCATCCATGCCATGGCTGTATAACGTGAGCCCGCTTGCAGCTGAGAGTTTTAGTTGAGTTCCGAGGTTCCAGGGTGATTGAAAACGAGATCACAAGAAGACTTCATAGTGATCCGAAGTGCTATTTTCTGTGTTGAGATCCGTTGCTAGGAGACGACTAGTGGAAACTGAGAATCCTAGTGTGTGTGCAATGGGGAACTGTAAAGTGTGTAAACCAGTGATAGCGCTGTATTAATTGTAATTAAGAAAGACTGTAACCGAATTGCCAATAAATCTAATAATCCGAACTAGAACCCATTATTTTCGTCACCCATACTCCCCTACACGTGGCAACACATTAGGTACTTCCCAGCCTGGGCTGTAAAACTTATACAGTGATCAATTAATTAAGGGGGTTAAATGAAAACAATATACAACATTGAGGAATGGTTTTTGGACAACTTACTTCTTTCTCCAGGCCAATAAGGTTCTGACTGATCCTTTTCTTCTGCTGGGTGAGGTCAACCAAATAATGACCAACACCCTTTCGCTCTTCACTCAATGTTTCTTTGAGCTTTTCGTTCTGCAACAAAGAAAATGAGTTTGATGTCTGCTTCCAGGTCAGAAGTGCAACAGACTGGAACAAAATAATGTTCATTTTTCTGGACAATATTCATCTACCTACTTTTCATTTGAAATAACATTTCAGAGACTGGACTCTGTCTCTGTCATCATGTAAGAAGCCCAACTGACAGAGCTGGAGTGGAGAGAGAAACTAGTTCTATCACTTGAGCTTGTCAAAGTAGGCTTCTTATGCGAGAACAGAGACCAAATCCAGTTTCCAAATATTGTTTAAAATAAAATCAGAATCTGGATAATGTTCAGAAAAACAATCACTGTGTTAATATAACATCATCACAAGCTTTTATAGACTGAGTCAAGGTAGGCTGACTGCATGCATTGCTAAGGATTTCTTCCACCCCTCTTAAAAAGTCTTACTTTATAGAAATGAGACGCTCTTGAAATCAGCAAAAACAAAGTTGTTAGCAAAAGTTTGGCACAGCTTTAACATTACAGCATTCAAAGACAAACTTAATATTTTATCCTGACACAGGAGTTGGACTACTTTAGGCCAATTTGTAACAAACTGATCAACACTGGATGCCATTTTCACATCATGTCCAGATCAGACCTATGGTCCACCCTGCCTAGCATCCAGTGTGTACTGAGGCCTCTTTCTCAAAGGTGGAGGGAACAGCAGAGTGTCTGTAGCATAAAGCTGACCACTCACCATGCCATGGGTAATACAGAGATAGAGGGGTAGGAGATGTATGTGGGGCGACATAAAACCAAAGCCAAATGTCTCATCATCTGATAATTAGAGATGTAAATTCTACCACAAACATCCCAGTAGTGGTTATGATACATTCAATAACCAAGTGAAATATGGCTTTAATGTTTATTTCCTGTGTTACAAATCTGAGTCTAGACAGACTATTCCCCTTCTTATGCTGAAAATGTTGAGTGACACAGTCACTGCACCTTATAATCCATTCCATTCCATTAAACTCTATTCTGTTATATTATATGCTATTCTATTCTATTTTGATGCTCTGAAAAACAAACCTTGCTTTTCTTAATTGATGTTTGGTTCGTTTAATGCCACTATCAACTGTAACAACTTCAGTTGTTTAGTTTAAGGGACAGGAAGGAAGTTCTTACGATATGTAACTACATCATGAAAGGATATGAACTCGAGAACATAATTATTCTGACTTATTGAACAAACTTTCTGACTATCCTCCATCTGTATTTAATTTGTGTGATATCAGAGTCAAAATTTTGAAACATTTTATTTGCAGTAAGTACTTGTGATGAATACATACCACAAAAGTCAGTGTCAGGGCTCTACATTGAAAGTTGTGGAGGAATTTCATTTTGGTCTGTACCAATGAGAAATCCATTTGGATGCTGCTTCGTGCTATCGATTTTATCTCCTATTTCTGTCACATGAGTTTAACATGAACTGGAGATGAGTGACCAGCTTCATGCTCATGTCACTTTAACCCCCTTCCCCCAAAGATGACTCGATGTCCAGTGAATAGGAGCTGAGTGGGTCCTACAGCCAGTTTAAATGTAGTGGTGAAGACAACAATTCCTGCCCCTAATGGGAATAAAATCCAGACATCCAGACCATACTGACTGAGTATGCTGGCTCATAGATTAATTCTGATGGGTTTATGGGTTTAACACTTGTAAAGAATAAACATATCACTGAAGGACTGATTGATTCCACTTGCCTCTTTTTCAAGGGAGTCCTTTTCTGCAGCAATGGCAGTCACCTGGCGCACAACTTCCTGACGAGCGCGTTCTAGCCCTCGGCGAGTTGCCTCAGACTCTGCAGCCTGCTGCTTTAGCTGAAGAGAGAGAGATATATAACATAAAAATGAACTTCTAAAACCACACAGATACAAGTGTAGGCTTATTTTGTTCTGTGTACAAACCTGGGCCATTCCTATGCCATGCAAAACATGCATCTTATTTCCAAAACCTTATGCCATGCAGATATATGTATGAGTGGAACAATCACATAGTCTCAATCATATCAAAACCAATATAGCGCATGGCAGTTCATTGATTCATTAGTTATCGCCATGAAACTGACAGCTTGAAAAACTTTTTGCATAACCAGCATGTTATTTTATATTCTACAAAAACAAACCTTAACAGAAGTTGCATATTTATTGAAGATTCAATGCCATACATAATTTCAGGATTCCGCATTAAGTGATGTTACTCTTGTTCCCAACTCAAAAGTTCATGCATCCCTCATGTTGTTATAGATTGTACTAAATTAAAAATTATGCGTTTCTGATGGATTCTAATGGCATAACGTTCATGCTAGATTTCATGAAAACCGGTTAACTGATTCAAACATTTAGAGGGGACACATACACGTCAATACGTGCACACACATGCTCGCACATGCATACAGTATGGTGATCCTATAATCCTCCTTTATTTTATTAGAGGAAATCAGCTAGGAAAGATATGAAGTACAACAAATGATACTCCTTAAATCAGCTAGGAAAGATATGAAGTACAACAAATGATACTCCTTAAATCAGGTAGGAAAGATATGAAGTACAACAAATGATACTCCTTAAATCAGCTAGGGAAGATATGAAGTACAACAAATGATACTTCTTAAATCAGCTAGGGAAGATATGAAGTACAACAAATGATACTACTTGACCACTCACTGCTCTTTCATTATAGGCTAAGGTAAACAGTGAAACAACCAGAGAACAGAGACAGTTAACAATAAGAATGCTGTGAGAATAAGACCCTTCTCACTGAGGCCTCAAGTGCGCCTACTGCACCAGCCCCTGATTACGAATGTGGAGCCAACTTGGATAGAATTAAGACTGGGAAGGGAAAACTGAAGTTCCATGAGAAGGACATGCCTCAATTACTACTCTGTCCTCAACACATCTCACATTCACTAGTCTGGGAATGACAACAGGCCTACTGTGAATGGTCATTAATGTGGGCAGATGTTGAGAATAGGTGTCAATGGAAAGCATAGAAAGCACTATTAGAAAAACATCTGCCAAAAGATATTTTGGGGAGACATAAAAGACAACAGTTTGAATTTTGAGTAGGTTCGGGTTCTGGCAACCAAATCATTCTTCATGCAGAAGAATATGAAGGAGATGAGAAGGGGAAGAAGACATTATACTGTTACGTAATTATGTCGTTTGTATGTGTTGTTACTACAGTTTCATTTTACTTCAATTTGGATGAATGTAACTTCTGCTTTCAGTGTTGGTTAAGCATTCACAAGTAAAAGAATGTCTCATTCAAGCGTGAAACTTGTGACAGCAATTTAGACTTGGAAAAGGTTACGGTACATAAATGAAACTAGCCAATAATTACGCAGAGAACTACAGAGAACTATGCAGGTTTTCATTTGCAGGGGCGAGGTGAAACGTAATCTCTTTGCAATGTGTCCTCATACGTGTCGATTGTGTTAGGCCCTGATAAGCATAAAGCGTTTGTGGAGTGACAATTGGCAGGAGGACACTGCAGAGATCGGAGAAAAACCGAACCTGCCACTGTCTTAAATGCCACATATCTCAAATGGACTAATGTGGGACTGAACCCGGGCCTACGGTCAGAAGCCTGCAGGTAACAGCCTCAGTAAAGGTACAGCATTCTCTAGAACTAAGCACAGAGTAAACAAGTTTGGGTATTTGTAGTTCAAAAAATGAAAGTTTCAGAATCGGAATGTGATTAAAATCTACACGAATTGTCCTGACATGAACACAACATCGCTGTGAGGTTAATGTTAGAGTCTGCTCCCTCTTTACAATGCGTCACAGGTTGAGTCTCACCTGTCGGTAGGCCTCGTTCTTTTCTCGCTCCAGTCTGTCCTTCCATTGCCCAAATTTCTCCTTCTCGGCTCGTAACTGAAACAAACAAAAGATCACAATAAAGAAACTATACTAAATGATACACACGATATCGGCACAGAGTCTCCACCTATTCACGAATTCAGTTCATTACAATTCAGAATTAATTCTTAAACAAGTCCTTCGGACATCTGAAAAAACTCCTTGGGAGGGGGGTTTGACCCATCGCAAAACCTGCTACCTTTAAATTTGATTTATTTGATTTGTTTCATTCTGGTCCGTCACACTAACAATATTATAAAGAGATAAAACAGTTCCATCCAGTGGGACTGGTGAAGATTTTCTTATTTCAATTCTTCATGCCCTAATACATCAAGACAGCCGCTGTAGTTGTAAAAACTTTAGATTTTGTATCCATTTGTATATTATCAACAATGTATGTATATTTTAACGTTCAGAACATCTATTGTAATAGTAGTTTCCAAACTGTATTGAAGCCCCTCTGATGATGGTCTCTTAAGGACCGAAACATGTAACGGCATGAAGAACTGAAATAAGAAAAATCTTCACCAGTCACAAGGGACGGAATTGTTTTATCTTTTTATAATACTGCCACCTTCCTTTTTTTCTTCGTTTTTCTCTCTCTATGACTCTACAGCCCTTTGGACCTTGGCCGATTTTTCAGTTTCTTAATCCTATACACAGTCGGTAGGACTCCTTGGACAGGGGATCAGCCAGTCGCAAGGCCCCTACCTGCGTACAAAACAGCACAAACACATTATAAACGCACACAGACATCCATGCCTCGAGTGGGATTCGAACCCACGACCTCAGTGTTCGAGCGGGCGAAGACGGTTCATGCCTTACACCGTGCGGCCACTGTGATCGGCAAACCCTGCAATTACACGGGACAATACAACTCAGAAAAAAAAGGGTTTAGAACGTAAGATACTACCGATCTAGCGGTCAAAGACTGCATAGACATATTGGCCACACGCTCCTACTTTACATGCAGCTCAAGTCAGTTGGTTCTTTGAAGACGCTACCGGCATGAAGACTGTTTGTTTGGGGCGCATAAAAATAAGAACGACAATAACACTGTACCGATGTTCATGGGGTTAAATACGAGTAAAACAACATAAAACATGAAGGCCGCAAGAGGAAAATTGCGCGGGAAAGGATAAAACGGAAACAAACATTCTCAAACAAATGTACTTTAGTGTGAACGACAGAAATACCACTGAAATCTTTTGACTTAAGAACTAGTGCAGTGTAGAGTAACGGTTTCGAAAAGTGAACAGTTGCTTGAGGATGGCCAAGTAAGGCCGAAACATGTAGCAGATGACTGTTGTTTTAATGTTATTCTAAGTTAAGGAGAGATTGTGAACAGAGCTGCATTAAAGATGGAAGTGAATGTGTGGAGTAGTTTTCTAATTTACATAGGTCGGATAAAAAGTAGTGGCAACGCCTCTATAGTTCTGAAATGACTTTATTACCTGAGGTAAACACACTTACATTCCTTCAATATAATCGCCCCCCCCCCATGTGTACCACCTTCTGCCAAATTTGTGGAAGGCGTTGTACACCATCAGCGCGTCCACTTCCGTTGATATCCAGCAGTGACCGCCCTATAGCACGAATCTCATCTCTTGTGTTGTAACGTGTCCCTAGCAGTGGTTCTTTCATTTTGGCAGAGATCATAATCGCACGGACTCATATCGGGTGAGTAGGGCGGATGTTGCAGTATCTCCCATCGCCAGCAGCGAAGGAGATCCTTGACAGCGTCAGCAGTATGAGCCCTTGCATTGTCATGAAGGATGATGGGGTTCGTTGCCAACAAGTGTCGTCGTTTTCTCCTGAGTGCTGGACGAAGATGATTACGCAGGAAACTGCAGTAGAAGGCAGCGTTTACTGTCTGTCGTTGGGGTACAGTGTGGTGTATTATCACTCCATTAATGTCATATGCCACAATGAACATCGCCTTCACATTACTCTGTGTAGGGCGCACTTTCTTTGGACGAGGAGAGCCAGGATGCTTCCATTCATTTGACTGTCGCTTCAAGTGCGGTTCGTATGAGTGAGCCCAAGTTTCGTCCAGAGAGACGATCCTTCCAAGGAAGTCGTCACCTTCCCTCTGGTACCGGTCCAACAAGTCCTGTGCAATTTCATAACGTTGCCACTGTTGCACCTCGGACATTGAATGGGGTACCCAACGCGGTGCAGGTTTGCGGTATCCAAGAACATCGTGCAGAATTGTGGAGTACGGTTTTGTGACATACGCCAATCTAGCAGCTAACTCCCGCACGCACCATCGACGATCGACATCCAGCAAAGAAGCAAGAAGCTGAATTGTATGGTTGTAAACATGGGGTCGTCCTGAATGGCATCCCTCCCTTCACGGAACAATTTCACCCACCGTGCCACTGTGCGATATGGCAAAGCAGCATCACCACATGCTTCTCGCAGTCCCTGATAACAGTTTTGTGCACTACGAACTCGTGCAACTTCAATTTTTATCCAGGAGCGTTGTTCTTGTTTCGTAAACATGTTGTTAGGGTGCTTGAACAGGGCTCCCGCACTTCAAAGCGACGCACAATGCAAGTTAATGCAACACAACCAGAGCCACTAACTGCACTACTTCAACTGAACTTCTGCTATTAGCTACAGACGGCGCTAGTGCCACCTGACGCACATCTTTCAAGTTACAGCAGTGTTGCCACTACTTTTTATCCAACCCTTGTAAATCATCTGGTTCCAATGTTACACGACTGCTGATTGAAGTTGCTGTCAACTGCCTGTACAGACCGTCTCATCACATTTTCTACACGGCTTAAGGATATACACGTAGTGGGACGACGAATTACGGAGGAGCGGAAGAAGGGTTGTTTACTTATTAATACAAGAGACCCGTCTGGGGCGGGGCTGTCACACCTTGTAGCAGCATCAGAGTAAGAGCTGACGTGCAATAGTATGATTTATTTTAGCATAACAGACATGTTCCATGTTAAGTGGGTCCCTTGTCACCACGGCACTGCGCGTCCTCAGGTTGTGGATGGAGGAGACAGCCTCCAGATATGGAGGATAGCTGTGAATATACTGAATAAGCAGTCGCGGAGAGCCGGCAAGGGGTGGTCCTTCAGCTTTGGAGTTGAGCGTGGGGCTAACTCATCACCGTAAAAAAATAAGTTTGTTACGAAACGTCACAAAGGGCCTCGGACTTGGACGGATTCTCTGGAAAAACGACCTAAGCTAAGGAAAATGGGCGTGATATTTGAGACATGGAATATAAGACGTATGTATAAGGCAGGTCATGTAGCATGAATCGGGGAAAATGAATGCATATAGGACGTTGGTTGGAAAGCCAGAAGGGAAGAGCCTACTAGGAAGACAAAACATTGACACGGATCTTAAAGAGATAGGATGGTGTTCTGTGGACTGGATCGATCTGGCTCAGGATAGGGGCCAGTGTAATGCTGGGAACCATACATGCTCAACACAATCCCGATTAATCCTATGCGCACTATATAATGCCACAATTTCAACTGCAGAAGTGGGCACCACAACATCGAACGAGACGGGAAGACTATCATGAATGTTATCCGAAGATTCAGAAGGAATAGTCAGACCTTCAGAGACTGAAAATATTAGCATGTAATCCCTACTCAGGATAACCGGCGACTCGGGCGAGATTCAAACCTGATACCTCCTCAATATGTGTAGTGCGTTGCCGCTGTTATGAAGCTCCTCGTTATAGAAACACATAATACTTTACGAAGGGGGTACACATTCACGGCTTCTTCTGTGGCCATCGACCATCCCAAACCAGAGATGAAGGAAATCTTATCCATTATTACTATGCTTTTAATTATTTCCACCCTTCGGGTTAGACTTTTTTGCTCTCGAACATTCGCTCTGAACGTCTTTAACGCTTGATAATACCAGCGAAGATACACTCACTCATGGAGCTCAGCCCTTCTTGAGAAGCCGCCAATTGTTGCAGCTACTCAAGAATTTCCCAGCATTTTATGGAACTCGAAGTTTCATTACCGTGTTCACAACAGCCCTCCACTGGTCCCTATCTTGAGCCAGATCAATGCAATTCATACCATCCCATCCTATCTCTCTAAGATCCATTTTAATATTGTCCACCCACCTACGCCTTCGTCTTCCCAGTGGACTCTTTCCATCTGGCTTTCCCACCAATATCCTATGTGCATCCCGCTTTCCCCCCATTCGTGCTAAATGCCTGCCCACCTCACCTTCCCTGATTTGATTATTTTAATTATACTTGGAGAAGAGTACAAGTTATAAAGCTCCTCATTATGCAGTTTTCTCCAACTTCCTGTCACTTCATTTCTCTTCGGTCCCAATATTCTCCTCAACACCCTGCTCTCAATCACGCTCAGTCGATGTTCCTCCCTTAATAATAGATCGTGTCCAAAAAGATATTACATACTCTGGCGAATCGAATCATCCTCATGAAACAAGAGTTACAGAGCATGCAAAAGACGCCGTATCAACAGACACATTATGGGGAGTGTTCTACAATACGATTCGCGTGTATCTTCACGCGCGGAACGTAACTGCCACCATTCCCAACAATTGCTGTCATGTCTCGTTCTTCCATAGGCTGTGTCTTTTCTGAACCCAGTATATATTCTCGTGTAACATTTAAATCAACAATATTGGTTTCCACTGGTGTAAGCCGAGCGTAGAAACGGCGAATCAATAAGAACTCTTGTGCTTTCACGTCATGGAGATTTGCTGGGAGACTTACGGAAGCCGTGTTAATATAAAGGTGATTACAAAATATTAAAGTGTGAAAAGTGGGACGGAAGTATAGTGACTTATTTGAAACCGGCACTCGCTTCAGGAAATTACCTCCCACGCCCCCTCAATTAGGTGCCGGGTCGCGAGTGGGACCGACCACGGGCCCTCCTAATGCGAAGCTGACATGCTAGAAGTATGAGCTGGCATTCCGTAGGTACCGTGTCCCTCTCACCTTGTCTGCGTTGGTTCACTGGAAAATAGCGGTAAGGTAAAAGTAAGGAGCTGAT